GTAGTGCCGGCGGTGGCAGTGGCAGTGGCGGCTGCATCGTCGTCGTCGTCGTCGTCGCAATCGTAGTCGTATAGTCGTCATCGTCCTCGTCGACGGCATTGGCGTCGGCGGTGGTGTGTCTGCCGGGGCGACGTGTGCCGAGGGTTCGGAGGCGGGGGCAAGCGGTGTCGAGGCGGGGGCAAGCGGTGTCGAGGCGATTCTCGCAAGTGGGGCGGCGGAACGATAGGGGTGTCGGTGGCGGTAAGGGTGGCGGGAAACTCGCGGGCCGGGTGCGACGGCGGGCGAGGGGGACACCGCCTGGAAAACTTTCGACCGTGTCTAACATTACGCGGCACGGCCCTGGGATAGAGAAAAGAGGGGGTCAGGGTCCTCTTATCGATTCAATACTACACTCGGTGCGTGCGTGCGTGTGCGTGTGCGTGTGTACGTTACCGGGCGTGTATGCACGCGTGTGTACGTTGCCGGGCCCGCGTGTGTGTGCTTGTGTGCGCGTGCCTTTGAACTCGCATCGCGTAAACGTGAAATACCAACACACTCTGCCCGCGCCTTATAATACTCGCTCACGTATACAATAATAATACACGTGTGTGTGTGTGTGTGTGTGTGTGTGTGTGTGAACCAGTATATATACATAGTACGCTTTACGCACACGCACGCGTGAGAGTATTAACGCCGAGGCGCTCTGAAATGGACGAATGATTTATTATTTTACGTGTTAAGGCAAGTACACTATATATATATATGGCGTATACATATATAGGCGCAGGTAGTAGGTAAACGCCGCCGCCGCCGCTCATTTATTATTGTATAAATTTCTTTTTTTTTTTCCAAACGCTAAAATATATATTATTGGAAAATAATAATAATAATAATAATAGTGCCTAGTAATAGTAACGGCAGCGTTTTCATCAATTTTCTTTTCGCGTAGTTCGACATATATTATTACGTACCTGTGTAATGATAATAAAATCATACATAAATACACCCACACGTGTGTAAAACACCAGTTTATATAAGCACGTGACCATCAAAAATAAAAACGAAATTTATACTAATATTATATTAATATTGTTATTATTTTTTTTTTTTTTTTTTTTTTTTGTTTCTATATTAAGTATATGGTTCTAAAATGAAATTGTTAACAGCGTTGTTCGTTACACTTTATAATAATTATTATCACTATAAAAACTCTAACTTATAATCAAACTAGCGGTTTACGCGTTATACCTAATAAATTATTTATATTTTTTAAAATTGCAAAACACTTAAAGTTTTATATTTTTGTCGACATTTTGCAATAATGCACTCGTGACTCGTCAGATCCTCCAAAGTCCAAACAATTTTATGTCTCATTTGATCGTGAACCACTGACCTAAATTTAAATAAAAAATATAATATAAAATATTACAATTAACATTCATATTAATTGAAATAAAATATATTAGAGAGTTATACTAACGGTATACCAATATTATATTGATAATTAAATTGTAATATATTTTAAAATAAAAATATTACTATAAATAATTATTTTAATTATTATTAGTTTAGATTTTTATCCTAATGTATCTAATTTATAATAGGTAATATATTCCCTACATAATAATATAATTGCATTACTAAAATCATTAATAAAAATTAAATATAATTTTAAAGTGAAATTATTTAAAAATTATATATTTAAGTTTTGAAATACTTTACGCTGAGCACAATTTTACATAAAAAAAACTGCCATATCCATAATTAAAATTTTCCTTTGGTGTGCACACCTAACCATATTTATATAAGTACATGCGTAATGTTAACTTTCATTTTTTTCTTACGTTTGTTCACCGCATGTTTAAAGCTTTGATAATCATCATATTATATTAGTTTCTTAGTCACTTTAAATGCAAATATACAGTGTAAACTATTGAAAAATATGTAAAATTATTGATTGTCAAGTTATAACACGATAGTAGAAGGAGTTGATTTTATGTAACTAACAATTTATTGTGTAATAATAATAATAATAAAACACTACTGGCATTGATTGTGAACGTTGGAAATAAAATATTTTGAATATATTGAATTGAATGTGGAAATATAAAAAATTGGAGTATTCCATTGATACAGTTTCTGAGTCTGCGTGTTATGAATTTATGATAGTAGGTAGTAGGTGTATAATGATGATCCGTAATCGTTTTAAATAGGTATTTTTAAGAAGAAACATTTTAAGTTTTTTCATCATATTATTTTATATTATATCGAAGTGCTGCTAAAAATACATTCTTGTCAAATTAAAGTTATTAAGAATCACCGTTGAAGTGGTTTATTATAGTGGAAATTAAAATTTAAGAGCTATACACCATTAGGAATCGTGGAATGAGTAATTCGATTTTGTTTTTGTTTTGCAACTATGATGACATAAATGATATTATATACTTACCGGACACGGCACTTAGCTAATGAGCCAAAAAAATTATAGAACACCAAAGAGTATTATGTAATTACAACCTTAAATATATGATATGTTTAAGGTCAGCGAAGATACGAACAGATTAAGTGGAGTATTCATTTCCTGAAACTCGCCCATAGTTCAGAGCGATGTGATACGAAATATAATATGGTTAAATAAACGAAGGAAATTTCAAAATATCGATTATAATAATATGGATTCTATATAATAATATTAATTGATTACACTGCTAAAATACTAATATGTGCAGTGTGTACAGTTCAATAATAATGCACCGTTAATTGTAAATAGAATTATATTTAAATGGCGAAACTGTAAATTATATACATTACATAAATTAATAATATAATCATCATAATCATTGATTAATCAATTATTGTAACTATCCATTCGTCCATAGTATATTTAACGTAGTCACCCCACTACAATAAGCCCATAATATTATAAATTAACGTCTTGATTTCTTTAAATAATCATCGTTATAGTTGTACCAGGTACCTATATTATTATAGTAGATTTAAACAGCAGGACACGAAAGCATTGTTATTTAAAATGATTACTTAATTTTGTTCGAGTGAAAATGTGATTGCAAATTGTTGGTTGAGGCTAGTCTAAGTGATAGTATAGTAATGAAAAATTACTTTTAACAGTCAATAAATAAATCGATTTCAAGAAAAATGATTACTAAAACTAGTTTGGCCAGTTTGGATGTCAATTAAAATAATACGGATTTCTAAAATTAGTTTGATACACCGATTTTTGAAAAAATATTTATTTTTTTTACTCGTTTGATTAAAATACAATTACCAATTGCATGCTTATATAAATAATTTATTAGTTATTAGTTTATTACACATTTAATTTAAAATACTTATTTAGAGAAAAAAATTTTTTTGATTTTTGGAAATGTTTTAAATTTATGTTTGATAAATGTGATAAGTTGAAATACGCTAAATGTACCTACTATACAGGCAATTCAAAATTAAAACTAAAACTTATTGAACATTAACGCAAACTATGAAATCCGCTTATATAGTTAAAACGATAATACCACCGACAATCCCACAACAGTGTTCGACATGTTTTTATGGAATTATTTTTATTATTTATTATTGATAAAATACAATTTCCTGAATTAGTTAGTTGCGGTCGTTTGAATTTATATATATATCACATTCACAAGATTATTATGTTGCTTGCCTACTTAATGACTTTTCTGCTAAAACGATTTCATAAATCGTAATAGGATATTAGGTTAGTTTCAAATTTTTAAATAGATGAAAACCTATAGGTTTTAAAACTATTTTGGTATATTTGTTTGATAAATCTTTTAATCGGATATAGTTTTATTTTTCAGTGGAACTATGAATATGTTAGTTTTAGAACCATGTTGTATGTGTATGTTTTTTTTGTGTGTCTACCTTTTGTCCACCTTTTGGACAAAAAAATTAATATTGTTCAATATTCAATTTTGAATGCTCACTGTTAATTATCATATTATTTTTTAGTGTAGATACAGAAATAATTGTCATTTACATTAAACGTTACATCCATATTGTTATACTGTGTGTTCAGTCTTCAGTCCCTTGTACGTGTGCGTGTGTGTGTTTGTGTGTGTGTGCAATTATTTTCATTTTATGATAGGGAATACTTGGCAAGTTGGTCTCAAGTCTCAACTACCATATTGGTGAACGAGTAATTATCTGTAATTTGATCTTTTACTGTGTTGATTTATTTTGCTTAATTTCTCCTTACTGCCATAACCAGCAACACAAATATTATTTAAAATTATTATATCTTATCTGTTGAGTCGAAATTTATCTACGTAATACTACAATATCAAAATGTACACATTTATACTGAACAAGCATGTGATTTTCAGTTTTACCATTTTATTTCTTAGTTTTAAATAAAAGCACACAATTATCCGCTACACATTTACACTCTCCTTCCCCTCATGTTTAGTTTTGCTTGACAAATCCAATCCACTTCTATCGAGGTGCTACAAATGTATAAAAATTCCACATTTACAAAACATGCAACACAAAATGTATAATACAAAAGACTACCGCACTGACTGATGAGTGTTAGTGCGTGCAAAATAGGTGACTTGTGCAAGGACAAAAGCTATTCGCTCGTGGCCCATTCAGTAACAATGCACAATAACACATTCGAAAAATGTGTTTAATTGAAACGTCTCGTCATGCAAAGTAGGCACAATGATGTACCTACCTATATGACGAACACACATAATATTATACACAACATAGCAAAAAACAAAAATTGCTGTTTTAAAATTGCTTATAATAAATAAAATATAAAATCGTTGCATAAAATAATATTATCACAAATACCATAATTTTGGACATTTAACTGTTGATTCGGTCGAAAGTCTCAATCACGACACCTGCAATCCATCTGTATACTCTCTGCAACCAGCTGAACTCCGACGACCTCGTTGGTCCGTTTGATATTTTTTTTTTCATCATAGCTGCGAATCCAGGGTAAATAATATTATATTGTGTATATGGGAGCAAGCCATCTAGCGGGTGTTCCGGTCAAAAGTGTCGCGTCTGCATTGGTTCCTGCGGACCGGCGGGCCGCAATCGGCTGCCGCGGACCTGGCCCTGGACGGGCGATCGCAAGGCGTCGACGCGCCGCTCATGGCGAACGAATCGTCGAGGCCGAATGGCCGGGACTGGCGGTCGGACGACGACCACCGTTGCAGCCTCGACGAGTCGATCGACGAGCCGCGCGAACCACGGTAATCGTCGTACGTGGGACTCGGCAGGCCCAACCCTTGCGAGCCAATCGAGCTGCGGTTGTCAATCATCTGGCGCCAATTTTCGGGCGTCGTGTTCCCGGCCGTCTCATCGATGCGCACGTACGGCTGCCCGGGAACCGCCATCGACCTTGGTGCCACCGTGTCGAAGTTGACTGGGTTGTCGATGAAGGCGTTGATCCCGCCGTCGGTCATCCTGCTACACGACGAGGACCGGTCACGCGGAGCAGGCGGCCTCACCGGCGACAGTCCCTGGAACCCGTCCAGCCGGATGGTGCCGGTCATCGTGAACGAACCCGACGTGTTGCCGGCCCCCGCACCACCGTAAGGCTGTGGCTGTGGCTGCGGCGGGTTGCAAGAGCTCCTCCGGCTGCATTGGGGCGCGGCGAACGGCTGCGACACGTCGTAAGTGCCGCGCCGGATGTCCTGAGCGCAGCTGTCACGCGGTTCTGGCTGCGCGTTGGAACTGCGCCTCCGGGAATTTTGATCGCCGCACGGAGGCGGCTGCACGTCGTAAGTGCCACGCCGGTCACACGAAGGGGCGGGCGGGGGGCCGGGCCGCGGTGCTGGGGGGCAGGCTGGGGGGCCGGGCTGTGGTTCTGGCCGATCGTTGTTCCTGGGTATCCGCGCCGGAGCCTGACCGGGTCGGTTGGGCACTGGCAACCTGGAACCGGCGTACAGGTCCACCGGCCGGTCCTGTCTCCTGGGCTGTTCTGGTCGGCACGGACAGGGCACCGGTATCCTGGAAGGTGTCTGCTGGGCCGCGGGTTGTGCGAGGCTCGGATCCCGGAACACTAACCGCAGAGGGGGTAACCGGGGGCCCTCCTGGTCCCCCCAAATCGGCTGACGTCCCCTGTTCGCCGGCCGACCGTTTTGCTGCTGCGGATTTCTGTTGCATGCGTTGTTCCGTCTGGGGCAGTTATCGTTTCCGGCCCGTAACCGTATTTGACGATTACACAGTACGTTTGGAAACAGTGGTCGTAAGTCGTCATAATTTCTTTCGGTAGTAATATTTGATACGATTCGTACAACTCCAGCACATATTTTTTCCGTCAAAGCCACTAAGGCTTGCTCGAAAAATTTTGGTGTGTTCTTCATTTTGCCCGTCGTCATTTATCTGTTATGTGTTAAGTATATTATGGTTTTTAAAATTTAGTTAGTCTATAGTTATCTTAATAATAAGTATACATTATGGCATTGCAATTTTGAAGTGAAATGTTTGATTTGTTGTGGGGAAACCAATTATGTACGTGTGATAAAATATTAAATATGTTTTCAGCCAACTATTTACATCAAAACGATAATATAGTTTTCAATAATTTATTGTTATTTCTCCACATAGTGTTTGCTATATTTTTGTTTCTTACTATCTTAGTATAGTAAAAATCCAGACATGATAATATATAGATACTGAGGCTGAGACCACGAGTACGTCTAATAGATAATATAATTTTAGTCCGATCAACAAAGTGTAGGTTAGGTTAATGATAGATAATTATGATTATACATTTATATGAAAAAGTATTATATCTTGAGGTCTAGCAAATATAATATATCCTATTGGACCTTGGCGTACCTTAGACAATTGAGTAATATTAATGTTAATAAATACTTGATTAAAGAAATAATAAAGAAATATTAATTTTCTTGTCAAATCTCTGAAATTCATAATAATTTTTTATCAAGACCACACAATACGTCATAAGGAATGTAGGTACTATAACGTCATTGGTTTTATTTAATATTTTAGGAATATTTAAGCTATTTAACCTCATAAAATCATAACTCATACTATGACTTATTATGGAGCATCATAACTTCCGGTACCTACGATGAAACTCGTTGTTCGATTTACAAAGATTACGAGCCGAGACGCGTCGATGGACATCAGTACATCAGTCACCCATTTATTTTTTATTCATAGTTTATTCACACTATGACGCCTTTAAGACCGTCATTTAGAATTTGTGGTAGTTACATATAATTTATTTAGTGTTTAAATAGGAATGTTATAAGTACTAAAATAATACATAGATGAAATAGTCACGCAATGCCGTGATCGCTATAAGTCCACCATAAAAAAAAATATTATACAAAATGGTACAACACTTATAAAATCCAAAAATCTAAATTTGAATAAATGCATATAATTTAACCATAAAATGGGTTTATTTCGCAAAATAAGGGCGTGGAAATTGTAAGTAGTATTACGTCTCTGTCTCATACTATTCATTATATTTTCATAATTATAATAATTTTATTATACGCCCATGTTTACAAAAAGTTATAATGAAAATTTGAATATACTTTAAAATATTAATTCTTTATATGCATGTGCAGGTTTCAAAATGGGTTTTTTCCTATTTTGGGCTTTGTAAATGAGCTGTTGAATGATTTACTGCGATATTACAATATCATGACACAAAAGTTTAAGAAGGCTCTTTGTGTAACCAATTTTCCTTTATTGCTTAGGTATTTTATTTTATAAACTACTTTAGATATTTTTTTTCAAATTATAAACTATAATATAAAGACAAATGTATATATCTTATCTTACAAGTATCAGACAAGAAACTTAGTTTTCGTTTTTATATATAAGGAATGTGAAGTATTACTTATATTCAAGCATTTAACGTACATTTATGGAGAAATATATTACGAGCAATTATGTGAAACAGTGAACAAGAATTTCATGAAGCACTTCTTTCAACTCATATTTAAACTTAAAGTGTTTATACAAATTGAAGGTAAAAATAAAAATATTAAAAAACCTATGAAATAATTATGTTAATAAATTTAATTTGATTACCTAATTAATAACTTAAAATGCACTTAAATCGTCATAAGAGATAATATAAGTTTAAAATGTTCTGACACACAAATATAATTATTATGTATTCTGCTTCAGTCTTGTAATAATTCTTCAATCTTTATCAACTATATTGTAGTACTTATATACTCTATAGACAACATAAGAGTATAAGACCATTTTCAGATAAGAATTAAGACTATTATTAATTAATATTTTTAATTGGTTTTTTGATGTATATTATTATTTACATTGATGTTCATGTATACTTTTTGTACTTCAAATATGAAACTTCCAATTACAAATATCAATGAATTCAAAAAAAAAAAACAATTTTGCTTAAATATGGTTGGCATTTAGGTCACGGATTTTTTTACTCGATTTTATTGTTGTATTAATTTTGCAATGTTTGCTATAGGTAACACTCAAACAAATTCTTCTTTAATAAATAACAAATAAGATTAATAATTACAAATAAATTATCATGTTGTTGTACGTCAATATGTAATAAAAAATAGCTTATATTTTACTAACTAAATTATTACAAAATCTTGGATTCATAACATCCAGTATGCATAGGTACAGAATGAATATAAAATAAGCTATAGTGAATGTGTGGTGTACGCTCACCGCTGGTTTTATAGTTCGAATTAATGTATCGTAAAATAAAATATAAAGTTATGTTAATAAAACTCTACTTTACAATATAAATGTATGAAAGTATATAATATATGTAAATACTATTAATTAAATGTAATTGTCTGATCAAACTTTTTGTTTAGAAAGATAGTTTATAAAACGTCAATTTCAAGTTTGATTTATGTGAACGGTTACATATCAATTTTAGAATTTGTATGACTTAATTATTTTGATACATACATATATTAATTGTTGTTATTGTTATACTTTCTATAGAAACTGACATCATACACATGTACATACAATAAATTTAAGGGCTCAATTTCGTACATTTAAAACAAAGGCAACTAGCGTGTATCTACACAAGCGCACAAGCAACAAGCGGTACCAAACAAATTTAATAAAAGCAGGAAAATAAAACAAGTAGGTTTATCATTAAGTATGTTTATTACGGATAGTAAAATGTTTCAAAAAAATATTTAAACATTTTTTTGCACAAATCAAAATATTAATATGATGTCGAATAGAAAATTTAACTTTCGGTGAAACAGATCAACAGCGAGTATCTATACAACAGCACAGTAGTTCACCGTAATAAATATAATATTTACAGAGTAAAAACTGAAACACATCATTTATACATGTAGATCTAGTACATGTTTAAATAGTCATATAGTCATAATATATGTATTTTTAACAAAATAAGTTTCTGAACGACGGTCACTTTTTTGTATTTTTTGAAGCGTGCAGTACCTATGTTATTCGTGACTGACAAATTACTTTGAATGTTTATCATTAATGTATTACTTAAATTTTGATACTAATGACTTTTTTTTTTAAATCCATAAATCACCACTACTTTTGTAATATTCAAATGGTAATTATTTCGATAAAAATTTTAAAGAATAGTTTAAGTCGAACTATTCAAATATTTAATTAAATGTGTTAATAATTGCAATTATTTTGTATGAAAATGCTCAAATATTCACCTAGTAAATACTATATTATTATGATACCAACAGACATAATTCTTTTTAGATTTGGAGCAGAGATCAGTATTGCTTTTATAATTGTGTTTTGTTTTGTGTCAAATGATACTCTTAGAGTGCACACAATTCTTAATATTCAAGATAAGTTTCTTATGCCACATTGTATCTATTAATTCGTCGGTACAAAAAAAAAAACTCCCATATTTTTTTAAATAATCAAAAAAACAAAAAAACAAAAAAAAACTATCTCAGAAAATCTTATGTTGGAGATAAAGAAGAGTTATAGGTTATGAAATATGCCATATACTTATTATGTACTAGTACACATTGTCGATCAGGTTTTCTTTTCAACTAGAAGAACTTACAATTAAAATAAATGTAGGTATAGCACATTGAAACAAATTTAAAACTAACCCAAAATTATTTAAAAGAACTTTAGGTTATTATATTATTTTTGTTGAAAGTGAAGTTTGGACGGAGCAATGACTTTGCTATTAATATACATAAGTGACAAGACATTAGGATATATATAAGTCTATAATATTATATAAGTGAGGTACAACTTGGATAATTATCTGTGACTATACACACCGTATGACGGAGTCTGTGTAAGTGAGTATTACATACATCAAAGTCCCTACATATAATATGTACAATTGAGGTCATCCCTTATCCGTATATAATACAGAAAGCAATAGTAAAAGTGTTGCACAGTTACATCGTAACTGCATAGTATTAGAAACGACAATGTACACACGTGTGTTTACATTGTTTGAATACTAATATTAATTGTATATTTCAACAATTATTATGATCTTATTATTTTAGTTTCCACAATATCCATGAACTATAACTTAGTCTTATATAATTTGTCATTGATACTATTCGTTCGTTAATTACTGCATTGCACGTATTTCGATGACGAAAAGTCTAAACTAGAGTGCATCCGAGATGGGGACAGTAATAAATTAATAAATAATATTGGAAAATGTTTGATCTGTCAACTAAAATATATGGAGTACTCATAATTTTCATTCAAACAGTGTATTTATAATATTTTTCAATTTCATAATATTACCATGTGTTACTGACGACTACTACATCCATGGCTGCACTATTATACTGTTGTATTACAGCACCAGCTACCTACCTCTCATTGTACCTATATGTAATATTACGACGTAATATACCTAACCAACATACGATTTTTTAAATCATTTTCATGACGAACTCCAAAGGTCCGAAAGCCCTCAGTCGTGATGATTTGAATATTATAGACATTCATCGACCAACCGACGTATTGTGGAGTGATATTTGCTAAACTATTATAATAGTTGTATACACGCTATAATATTATAATGTTTACCTCTGGCTGAAAATTGAGCTTTAATAGAACTATGTAAGTTTAGCGATCAAAAGAAACCTTATACAATCGCACGCAGTGTATCGTTGGTCAGTATTATAGGTACATGGTTAGAATACTGGTTATCATATCGACAATGACTGTTATATTAAAACGGTAATAAATAATTTATTTTGTTTGTATATTACTTATTACTATCACGGAAGCGTTTGCTTATTAATTTCGATGGTTTTCCGAATATTATCGTAGACCGAAGGTGCAATTATCGTTATTACATATTATTATATAATATTCAGTG